GACAAACAGAAATTCAGTCTTGGTCCTCTCACATCCCATCCTTGTATTCATTTTGCTCTCGTTCGTTTCTCAAGCTCTTCCCATTCTTGTCAGCTGAGCTGATTTGGGGACTATTTTTCACTTATATGTCAAATTCTGATGAAATTTCCGAAAATCTCGCTTTTGGGAGCAATAGCCCTGCTTGAATTCTATGGTACTTTACAAAATGTGAGCGTGACTGCGAGAACGACATTGTGAAAGGAAATTGTATAGCGATCCTCAGAGCACAAACTATTTTAGACGACGTTGTCCTCGGTGAAATTTTGAGGAAATCTCTGTCTCGTTTTGAGCGGCGGCGACAATACGTATGCTGAGAAACTGGAAATTAATTTGGGAAATTTATAGGATTGAAACAGCGAACTGCTATTTATGGATTTACCCCGACCCGATTGGTAGCAACCCGTAGGGTTGCTAGTCTTATATATGAAGCTGAATGTCTGTCTGTCTGTCTGCCTGTATGTCTGTACGTAATTCCATTTCTGAATCGATCCAGACCATCTTTGCACACATACATTTGAGGCAAGACGGGTGTCGTAGGCTACTTTTCGTTATGGATCGATATCGATTTTATCGGTTTTTATCGATTTCTTTTGGGAGGATTGAGCTACGGGGCTGGGAGTTGGCACATGTATCGAGCATGCTGATTACTAACAAGCGCGAATAGGGATGGCATGTAGGAGTGGGCACAGGGAAAGGTTGTACAGGGATAGGGATAGGACTTTATCATAGTGTTTTGACAGGGCCGGGCGGAGCCGGGTAAGCCAACTAATATATAGGAAGATGCATGTCTGCGTGTTTGTATGTTCCAAAAATTTTTATTTCTCAACCGATTTGGACCAAACTCGGCACACATACACTTCGGGGCGGGGCGGGTGTCGTAGGCTACTTTTCGTCATTGATCGACATCGGTTTTATCGTTTTTTGCAAAGTTCCACCTATGAGGCTGGGAGTTGGCAGAGGAGGAGGGATAAAGTATGCTGATTACGAGTACTAGGCTTTTTTTTAGAATCATCGACTGCTTTTACCAATTTTATCGATTTTTTTGCAAAGTTAGAACTATGGGTTTGGTAGTCGGCACAGGTAGGTAAGTGGGCATGCTGATTACGAAAACACAACAGAGATGGGGAGTCGATATGCCGAAATGGGCACAGGGGAAGGTCGTACAGAAATAGGGATGATACCCGGGGTTTGCCTGACATAAAGGCTCTACCATGCATAATTGGTCACATGTCCGTAATTATCATGTCAGATAACCCCCCTGGGCCACGTTTTAGCAAATTTCGAGGGTTCCCAATATTAGACCACTCAAGTGATGTGGTCATTTTCAAACATGATACTATATTTCTAGATTAAATAAGCTAACTCTTTTTGTATTCAATACTAAGCACTACTCCCTATTCCCATATCATGAATTCTGCTTCAAATAACGGTCAAATTATGGAATTAAAAGCAGGCCAAAACATCGTTTGTCCCATTTTTCGCTTTCAATGGTTACGCTCTCACCAGCTTTTACTCAGAGCAGAAAGGATGAATCAGGCTTAAATTACTCTCATGAAAGCTACACGACTCAGGCTATCAAACAATTGATTCTGGAGATAAGTTAATGGGGTGTGGCACAATCAAAAAAAAACTGTGGCTCCCACAGCTTTGTTGGGGATGTGCCATACCCCATTAACTTACCTTCAAAGCATTCAAATCTCTGTCTTTCTTATATGGTTGAAAAAACCAACTTTAAACCTACTTCTTCACATAGCAGAAATTTCATTGAAAATTGTTTCTCCTGGGGAAAGATATAGTCGCTTTTCCTTAGCTATGCAAATGAAACACACTGCGAAAATACTGGATTAAGGTGGAATGCTAAGTTTGCGCTATTAAGTGAATCGCGGGGGAGGCGGCAAGAACAAGTATATTCGATAGCCTAATCCTCGTAACTTCCATAAATGTGATTTAAGCCTGATTGGTCTTCTCTAGTCTGAGATAATGAGGGTGAAAATTGGAACAAACGAGACTTTGGCTTGCTCTTAATTCCAGAGTTCGGAGGTTAGTTGAAGTAGGAATCCTAATGTGAGCAAAGAAGTAGTAGTACTTTGTATTGAGTGCAAAAAGAAATACTTTACTCACAAAGTTAACATGTTCGAAAATGACCACACTTGAGTTTCCCAATATTTGGAAACCTCACAGTTCGCTGAAACTTGGCCCACAGTGGTTATTTGACATATTACTTACGAAAGTGATGCGCTTATGCTTTTAGAATTTTTTATTATGCTTACTGTACGTGTACGACGGTAGGCCAAAACATCAGTGTTAGTATCTTGCAAAATGGGCCCATCAGACGTCGTTGACTGACATCATGTCGCCAAAATCAGTATCACCTCGATAACGACCCCCCCCTTCCCTTCCTGACCCCTCTACGACCACCCAGGTATGGCGTGCCAGACCCTACGCTTGACCATGATGATAACCTTTTTCGTGGTGTTCTAAAAAGGCTGCGCGGAGCCGGGCATGCCATCTAGTATACTTCATAGTATAGAGAGAGATTCGTTAAAGGCAGCGTTTGGGAAAAAAACAAAACGTCGACTGAAAATTCGCCTACTTAGACCTTATCCGCTAATTTCGAAAATGCAGATCCAGGAGTGTGAAATGTTTGAAAACCATCCTTCCTCAAAGCCCCTCGATATCCCCAAGAGGGCGACCAGTGTAGGCCTCTAGGACGATTTTCTCGAGGAGGCAAAACAATGCAATGCCACATCGGCAAAAGCTTTATCAAAATGCTCATCGGAATGTGACGATCAAGAAAAACGATAACTGATGAATGTCAATAATTGCGTATCTTTCACCATCATTAATGCCATCCGCACGACAAAATTAAGAGGACTTACCTCTCATATGCTTCAACTTCGCATATTTCACATTTTTTCTTGCAATGGCATCAGCATATTGCACTGAACACCGGGCACCGAGCAAAACTTAGTGAGCAAAGCATTTCAGCCAGGGTCAAGCGTGTTGATTCGATCCGGGACCCTCATTTACGACCCCCCCCCCCTTGAAGGTGCCCATCCGTACTCCCCCCCCCCCACGCCTACCCACCCCCCACTGCTTTTGAACCTGCATAAACGAATGTCAATCTCAAAAGAAGCCTGGCAATGGACCTCAGTCAAAATTATAGGTTCAGAGAAATATGATATGTAACTTCGGGGATAATGCAAGTGATGCTCCACCACTCAAAAAACAGATAATTCTGCGTATATTGGGTAAGTAATGAAATTGTACAAAGATTCGGCTATGCTTATCGTGGTCGGGAAAACGTGGATGGAAAGGACATCATCTGATAGAACAGATCATCAATTATGATCTGAATGATATTTGAAAGCTGTACTCAACCTAGATGCAAAAAAATGAAATCAGATAACAACTAAGAAGAATTCAGCATTATGGAACGGTTTACTTTAGTCATTATGGTTATTAATTTATAATAACTCATTTTCTAGTGACAAATAATAAATTCTTCTGTCATCTATGAATGTTTGGCATAACTCATTCATGTTTCAGTGGTGCAGAAAGATATCGACTATGGTTCTGGAAATTAGAAAGTTTTATACTGAAATGACAGTCTCGTGTTCTATTCCCCTACGCGACACCATTTTTTTGCAGGGAGAAAAAACGATATCTTTGTAGCCTTAAATATATTTTCCCCTGAAAAGATTACTTCCTACCTTTTGTACAGGTTTTCCTGCGAAAAAAACTGTTTTGGCGAAGTTTTTCCAGAATGATGTCAAAAACGTGCATGAGCACGGTAGTTTGGAAATTCGTAAACAAGTTCAAAGAAAGAATTAGAGGCTACTACGAACAGGCTGTGTAGTATAGTGCCCAGACTATCCATGGAAAAAGTTTCAGCCTTTGAAGCATAATGAGCTCGAAAAAATTTAGATGCGACTCTCGCATATTTAGATGCGATCCTAAAAAGCAAAAACTGGGATTTCTAAGCTTGAAATATTGTAATTCACCGGAGAGGTTATGAAACAGCTTAGAAATTTTATGGTAGAAAGAAGGAGAATGGCCTTGTTTTACAGCACAAGCAGCCAACAAGCTTAGATAGCTCCCGAGAAATTTGGATGCAACCCAGATACGACCCCCTTTACTTGAGTCTCTGTCGTCTATATAAATTTATAACAAAAATCCACAGATTACGAAATAAGACCAGAATTTGCACTAATATAGCAGAGCGTCTTCTAAGTACAGATAAATTGTATGCGCTCGTGAAAAACAGTGCAAAAAGTTCAAAAATTATTGATGGTCATCGTCGGTAAATTCGTTTTTGTCGAGTGTGTGAGACTTCAGGGAGGCTTCGAAAGCAAGATTTCTAGGCCAATCAGCAAATATAATTTTTTTTTCAAATAATGCATCCTTCAAAGGTTTTTGAGCTCTTGAAAATGTTTTTTTTTTGAAAATTTCTCAAAAATTTCATCTTTTTTATCCTATTTTCACTCCCTTATAAATTTATTGTAGAGAACATGTGAATTATCTGCTTTCGATCCCTTTTAAGCTTACGGTTTTTAGACAGACTAGTTCCTTTTACGACCCGCCGTTGCGACAGTCGCATCACACGCTTGACCCTGATTTCAGCTCATATCTACTGAGTCTGAATTTTGCGTCTTGTAAGGCAAATCGTGCATCGCCTCACACTAGCAGCGGCTGGCAACTGCTGTCGTTCCTCCTAGCCAACATTGCGGTATCGCGAGAGAAGGGATGCCGCTCTGTTTTTGAATCAAAGGTTTTTGACTCAGGTTAAGGTTGCTTTGCGTCATATTTCATGTGAACCATATATATAGTCCACTTCAAAAATTTCGCAGTACTTTCCTTTGATGGGAGGTGAAATGGACAAGGTCAAAGAAAAACTGTGCTCAAAGGATGGAAGATGCACATTCGATTGGTACTATTCTAACCTAACGATTTCTTTTAAGGCACGACATTCAAGAATGGGACCTATCAATCCACGAAAAATACGAAAAAATAGTCTGGACGGAAGAAAATGTTGCATCTCTCAAGGAGTTGTACACAGCGGCTCCTTTAAACATGCACTGCTATAGAAACGACGGATCCCTATTCCCGGTATCATTTCAGTACTTTACAACACAGTTAGAATACAATCTCTTTCTAGAACCATCCAACTAATTGGAGCGCAGTGCCACAGCCAAGAGTATTCACTCCTCCTCACATGAAATACAGAGACGAGAGTGAATGTCCAGCTTTAAATGATTAACGTGTGTGCTCTAATAAGGAGCACAACAATGAAGTCAAATACTGTTTTAATTATATCATTAGCTGGCATACCAGGCTTCGCCCGTACCTGTCACACTTTGATAAAGATCACCATCTCCTAATTGTATACAATATTTTCCTATCTTCCACTTTCATTGCCCCTCCCTGCCCCATTCAGCTGGCATAAACAGCAAGCTTACTTACTCCCCTATATCAACTTTGAACTCCTCAGGCCAAAATTTGCAAAGATTTGATAAATTCCTTTAAAAGCAATGGATATTCTACATATGCTACTTTCGTTATCACTGAGTTCCCTGAACTCTAGGCCCCCAGGTCATAGTTTGCGCAGTAGATAAAATCAAAAAAAAGTAATCGAATTTTTCAAAATTAATCTCTATTCGTAATCAGATACTCACATACTCCCCTGGACGCTATTAGCCCCGTAGCTTGAAGCTTGCAAAAATCGATAAATCGGTTTTGACTAAGTGGTCTGCAACGTCCCGCCTCCTATTGTGTGCGTGGGTGCGTTTGGTCCGGATCCTTTCGGAAATGATATTTTCAATTTAAAACATTTGTAAATGCATACAGACATACAGACATATTAGGTCGTTCCATAAGTTCGTAGCTTTTTCATTTTCGCTCTCACTTCCGCGGAAGGGATCGCAGCTTAAAAGAATGCTTCATATCCTGAAGCTTCAAATATGTGGATTTCACACGGCCTACCTGTCCGTAAGTATTCCCACCATCCTTTATGAACATACTGAACGGAAGCGAGAAGCTGTACAAGCCGCATTTCCGCGTCTTTGTATAATCCTCTGATGATCTCCGCGGCCGACCATCTTTTCTTCAAAGTCATTTTTCTTTCTTCGAAATAAACGAAAGTCTTTCAAATTGTACTGATTAACTAACCCAACAGTGCTAAGCATGTTGCTGATAAGAACAAATGAATTTTTGGGGTATCAATTTTTCGATAAACTCCAAATTTTGACTTGGAGTTTATCGCAAATTTCATGACTTCGAAACGTCACTTGTTCTTGTCAGAAACATGATTAGCACTGGTTCGTTAAATAAAGAGCACAAATTTGGAATGCTTTTATTGACTTCGAAAAAAGAAAAATGTAAAGAAAAGACGGTCGGTCGCCGGAGATCATCATTATATAAAAAACTGAAAAATGCGGCTTATAGAGCTTCTTGCTACCATTCTATATGTTCACAGAGAAGACTGGTGGGAATACCCACGGATAGGTAGACAGCGTGAAATCCACATATCTGGAGTTTCAGAATATGAAGCTTCTTTTAACTTGCGATCCCCGCCTCAGCGGGGATGTTGGTGCATACGGCCCTAAATCTGGAAAATCTCGAAGATTTTAGCTTATAGAAGGCTAAACGTTTATGGTTATACTAAATTCTTATGCTATAGAATCACCTAGGAAACGCCCATCTATTTAGAAAAAGCATGCAAATATTCGTTTTCTCGATTTTTAGCCATGGAAAAAATACAGCGAGTGTGCATATGATTAGGGGGGCAGGCGTTATGGAGCAAAGCTACGCCGCATTTCCCCGCGGTATATCCTAAGAGGCATTTGCGTTGCGTCGCCTTTAATTGCACCGCAGAAGTAACGCTGCTCGTGTTGAGCCATATTCCCGTTCAAAGAGTGTATTGCAATGAAGAAAAATAAAATTGATGAATTAGATGACTTCTAGGAATGAATACTGGGATGAATCCAAGGATAAATTGTTGAAAGGTGTTCACGAGAAGTGGGGCAGGAGAATTAGTAAAGAAAAAGGACAGAATTACGTCAAGGACTTCTTATGAAAAACCAGTTTTCCCTTTTGCATTTCCCTTGAGTTGCAGACAAGTTCTTCCTTATTTTTTTCAAAATCATCCTCAAATCCCGTTTATCTTCCACATCTTGAACTCTTCATCTATAGAGATTATGAAAATTGGCTCAATCCGCTGGGCAGCGCCAGCTCTCCTGCGACTCCAATTAGGAGCGACGCAACGCAAACACAGGCGAATGCGGCGTAGCTTTGCTCCATAACGCCCCGCCGCCTATGATTACTAGGGTTGAACCAGAGTTTCGCGGCATACGCGGCGTAGCAGTGTACGTCGCCTACTCTCCTATGATGAAACATACCGAGGGTACGCTGCGTTCTCTGGGTCAACCCTCGATAATTTTGGAATACTAGCAGCCCAATGAGTATCAGGTGTGAGAAATGTCGTATTGGGTTTTCAAAACCTCCTATAAAACCTCTACGTGACGTAAAAGCTAACGAACTTTGTCTAGTGATGCCTTGATTAAAAAGTTTTGCTGGAAAGGCATGGTGCGCACTTAGTTCAAATGCGACTCTTTAAGAGTATGACTGCTTGCAGAAGAACGCTTACAAGGGAAGGATGGTTAGTCGAAGCGGTCTTTTGCGATGATTTGTATACCATGTTGGAGGGCATAAAACGCTGATTTTAAGTCTGTCTTCCTTGTCTGCGGCGCCTTCCCGCACAAGAAGTCATGCGCGTTCATTGGAGGAAAAATTGAACGTGCGAATGATATAAAAACAATAGTAACATTATTCTAGCGCTTAAATGGGCCAGTGGTAATCCCAGCACTTTATAAAATAAATCCTTTGAACTGAAATATATCCGCACTCCTGCTGTCTCATTCAAACCGTGGGAAAATTTCAACAACAGTTTTTATCCCAGAAAAACACTCATTATTTTGCTCCTTCAAACGTTCATAACTCCTTGTCCAGGAATGCACCGCAGATAAGAAAGATTTGGAATCAGCATTTTATGCCCTCCGCCATGGTATATACAAGCTATCTCAAAAGGCCACTACGAACAACCATCCCTCCCTTGTTAGATTAACCAAGAACTTTTGCTGGGAGTTAAGAAAAATGTCGCGTTCAGTTGAAGCTCATTCTCGAGAGGGGGTGCAGGGGGTGCACGGTGTAGGGGGTGCGAGCATGCACCCCTACACCTCGTGCTTTTTCTCTAAACCCGCCCTGCGCATTAGATAATCGAAGTAGTGCTTCACATTCTCGGGAAGCATCCTTTTTGTAGCTCTCTTTTCTGTGGTTTTCCTAGCTAGTGTACTGTGTGTTCCTTTCGGTGTGAAATTTTTCACAAAGCGTTAGCGGCTTTTTCCGTCGAAGCATTTGAGACGCCTTATTTCCTCCTCGCTCTAGCCTCAAGTTATCTCCTCCTTTTCGATTTTCTTAGCCAAAATGCATTGAATTTTTCCCCTAAAAGTCCACAGTCAAGTTATCCACTCTTTCCCCGTTTACTCGAGAAGCTATACCGTCTTCAGAATCTCCTTTTTACAAATGCTTGGCCAAAGTCACAGTATCCCTCGCTGCAAAGTCACAGTACCCCCCACTCCTTGCGCTTTGTTCATCGTCATAGCGAGTCTGACCGGAAACTGCAGTCGCTTAAAGTCAAAGGGCATATCGGAGGGGGCCAAAGGGATTCGTGGACTATGACCGACTTCACCTTCGAACTTCCCCACCGATATGGTGGGGAAGTTGACAGTTAACGTTATAGTAGTTGACTACTACAGTGCTGGACATAATTATAAAGCCACTATGGAAATCGTCGTAATTTTCGTTCTTGTAAATGAATCTGTCTGAAACTTTGCTGTATTGTGCGCATGTCAACCTGCCATGACTCCTCAAGACGGCTTCCAGTCTTGTTGAGTTTGAACGGAGAAAAACGGAAAAATTTGAAAAAGCCCTTTTTGAAAGCTGGACAAAATTATAAAGCCACCTGGTTTTTCTAATCACTCACGCATTCGTTGACTCTCAAAATTTTTTTTGTACAATTACATTCCAAAATGTGAAACATTTGCAACACCTACGGCCTGTCATCCTACTCAAATAGAAGCGATCACTGCATATTTTGCTTTCAAAAGCACCAAAAGTCAATCTGCTTCAACAAACAACTGTTTTGAAGATTTTCAAGCTCTCGTTCATTTCAAATGATAATCGTGGAATACGCTGACCCTTCCGGATAGATGAGGTGAAAAGCGCTTTCGCAAACTCTGCGTAATTGCTGATTTTGACGGACAGACTCCAACCTCAGCATAGAGTTGAAACGCTTTTGAACCACAAAACTCAGTTTGCAATGTCCACAAAGTGCTGAACTTGATTTATCACATTGCTTACATGGGAATGCAGCTTTTGCAACAACTTTCAGATTTTCCCTAATGTTGCGGTAGCGATTTAGACTTGAAATACTTTCCACGAAAATTCCCTGCGAGCAGAAGATTCGATATAACCCTAGATCTCCTTATTTCCCTTTGTGTTTCATGTCATATTTCATCCGATGAATGAGATTAGCTAAGATTTTGAAGTTTCAAGCGTCTCCGGTTTTATCTCGTGATCTGAGTTGGCTTTGATTGTGCAGGGTGCTCCACTCAACATTCAGTGGATGTCAACTGCGGCTAAACCAAAGTGCTCAACCCCGAAATTTTTTCCCACTCATGCACACGAGTACACTGTTGTATGGCTATCGTAATGGCTACATTACAGTATTTTCTGTCGCTTGAACATCGAGTTTTGTGGTGTAAAAGTGCGTGAACCCTATGGTGAGGTTGGAGTCTGTCCGTCAAAATCAGCGGTTGCGCAGAGTTTAAGAAAGCGCTTTTTACCTCAACTATCCAGAAAGGTCAGTAGATTCCATGATTATCATTTGAAATGAACAAGAGCTTGAAAACTCTTGAAAACCAGTTGTTTGTTGAAACAGATTGACTTTTGGTGCTTTTGAAAGAAAAAATGCAGCGCTCGCTTCTATTTGAATAGGATGACAGGCCGTAGGTGCTGCAAATGTTTCATATTTTTATATGTAATTGTACAAAAAAAATTTGAGAGTCAACAATGCGATAGTGATTAGAAAAGCCAGGTGGCTTTATAATTTTGTCCAGCTTTCAAAGAGGGCTTTTTCGAATTTTTTCGTTTTTCTCCGTCCAAACTCAGCAAGACTGGAAACCGTTTTGAGGGGTCATGACAGGTTGACATGCGCACAATACAGCAAAGTTTCAGACAGATTCATTGAGAAGAACGAAAATTACGACGATTTCTAGAGTGGCTTTATAATTATGTCCAGCACTGTATGACGTCTGGCATGAAATTTCTGATGCAAAGCTTACACCATTACACATCTTCGGGGGTCGATGTTGCGAAGGAGCATGATTGGCAAACCGACCTTTAGAGCA